TTTGCCTTGCTTGTTTGCAAGATGTAGGTAGCCATTCCATATGCATCCAGGCTGGCATCGGAATAGTGGTGGAGCTGTGCCATCTTCAGGGGTTCAAACCCTGCCGGTTTGACTTATCTCTGCACATACACTTTGACAGCTGCTCACGGTCGGCCAGCCACTTCATCCATTTCTGGGCCTGCCCACTGTTTATCTTTTCATCCCAGCCTCTCTTTTCCCTACAAAGGTCCCTCAGAAGGAGCTTCGCTGGCAGTACCAATGGGGCCAGGAACCCGAGGGGGTCATAGGTGGAGCTAACGATGGACAGGATTCCTCGTCTTGTAGCTGGTTTGTCCTGTGGTTGCACTTTGAACCTGAAGGTGTCTGATTCAGTGCACCACTGAGTACCAAGGGCTCTTTCCATAGGAAGCTGCTTATGGCTCAGGTCAAGATCTTTGACTTCCGTTGTTCTGTCTTCTTTAGGGATGGACGACAGGACGGCCCTACTGTTGCTGACCCACTTTGTTAGCCCGAAACCTCCACTGGCGCACAGATGTCTGAGGTCCTTGGCCAAAGCAACAGCAGGATCTTCTGAATCCACAGACTTTAAACAGTCATCCACATAAAAGTTTCTGAGAACCGTTTCCACCACCTCTGGTGTTGTTTTGCTTCCTCCACCCTGTGCTGTTCTTCTTAGTGCATATAATGCGCAGCTGGGAGACGATGTAGCGCCGAACAGATGCACTGTCATTCGGTAGTCTTCCATCGGTTTGTTCGGATCACCATCCTGCCACCATAGGAAATGCAGAAGATCCGCATCTTGGTCTTTCTTTGGGTGGTAGAGACCGTGATGAGGTATGTACCACACACGTCCATATTCTCGGCTTAACCGTTTCATGGGGATTTTGACAGCGTAGCCTTTTCCATTTATACCCGTCATGAAGTCCTTTTAATCTTTGTACAGGTCCGGGGTTTTGCTGAGCTTTCTTTGGAGACTTGCGGCACGCTGCTCTGCCATGCAGCGGTTGTTTGGCATTTTGGCTGTCTCGTTTCGCAGTGGTAAGCCAATGCAGTAGTGCCCATCCCTTAACTCTGCAGATTTTACCACTGACCGCATGAACTGATGATCCTCCTGGGACATCTCTTCTTTGTCTTCACAGCTGAGTTCTGAGAAGTCTGTGTTATATTGCTTGATCAACAGTTCCTCTACGTTAGCTATGGAGATGTGGTTTGCTGTAATGTGGCTCACAACTCCATCCGCTGCCTTGCTGCCATCATCTGTCTTCATCGGCCCATTCACTACCCATCCAAGGGCAGTCTTAACTGCATAGGGCCCGTCTCCGATGCTGTTTATCACCTGCCATGGCTCCAAGGCTTTAGGGGTGTTGGTTCCTATAAGCATGGTGACTTCTCCTATTATCTTCGGGATTTTCACCTCTTTCAGATATGGCCACTTCTTTAGGTCTTCCTGCAGGGGGATGTTTTCTTTCTTGACCGGTATATCTTTACATGTAAAAACCTTAGGGAGTTCAATGTACCACACACTTCCAGGTCCGACAAGATACAACTTTGGGCTGGCTTCTCCTGGCCCATAGTTCTGAGTAGGATCGTAGTTTTCTTGCCTCGAACGTTCAGCTGTGTCTTCAGTGATTCAGTGCAGAAAGTCGCCGTACTTCCTGGGTCCATGAAGGCATACGTCTCCATAACCTTCTCACTTTTATTGGACTTGACTTTTACCGGTACTATAGCAAGTACACATTCTCCGGCCCCGGTGTATCCACGTCAGTGACACGAGACCATTTGAGATGTTCTCATCTGGCTTTCTAAATGTAGCACTGTCCTTCTCAACATGCAGAATTCCTGGGTGTCTTAGGGAGCAGACTTGACAGGTCATCCTTTTATTGCAGTTTCTGCTAAGGTGTCCCTGTGTAAGGCATCCAAAACAGAGGCCTTTAGCTTTCAGAAACTCAATCCTGTCTTTCGGTTGTTGCTCTTTGATGCTTCTGCAGGAATCGAGTGTGTGGTCTCTATGGCAGAACAAACAGGGTTTTTGGAAGGCATTGACAGGATTTGTAGCTGAGGAGCTGTACTTTAAGTTTGAGGGTGGTGTTTTCTCTTCACTCATTGGAGCGACAGCTGTGGCAAAACTGCTTCCCCTTTGCCAGCCTGACTTCCAAGCTTTAGAGTCTGTGGCCGTAGCTTTGACTTTTCCTTCACTACCCATCCTAGTATCATGCATGCTTCCAAAGAGGGGGTCGTTAGCCATTTGTGATTGTCTGTATATATATGTCACTAGGTTTGTAAACCTTGCTCTTCGTCCCTTTTTCTCTTGAACCTCGAAAGCAGCACTCCTCCATCTTTCTTTCACCTTGTATGGGAGCTTTGAGGCGACGACTCTCATGTTAGTTGGATTGTTCATTTCGTCCATATACTCTATGTCCTCCATGGCATTACGGCACGTAATCAGGAAAAGGGCATAGGCCTTCAGAGCTTTTCCATCTTCAGATCTGATCTGTGGCCACTTTAGAGCTTTATCCATATAGGCGGTAGCAATCTTAAGTTCATCACTATAATGTTTCTGGAGTAGAGCCCTGGCTTCTTTGTAGCCTCTCTGTGGTGCCATGTGCTCACAACTGCGGACGAGCTCTTGAGGTTCCCCTCCAGTGAACTGTTCCAAGTAGTACAATTTATCGCTGTTGCTCTCTGCCTTGCTGTCGATGACATGGTTGAAGGCTCTTATAAAGGACTTGTAGGTGAGCGGGTCTCCCTTGAACACAGGCAAGTCTCGTTTAGGAAGATAAGACAGGTTATGCTGCCTTACCAGCATCTCTGTAATCTGACTTTGACGCTGCATCACATTGTAGCTGTCCCTCTCCTCTACGGCAGTGTTTCTCAAACTTTTTCATACCAAGGACCACTTAACCAATAAAAAAACACTCGCGGACCACCTAACTCCACAAATATCCAAAAACACATGGTTTTTTACAAATCGCTTGAAAATGGTACAAACAAGTGGCCACATGTGTGATGAAGGTGTTTATCTGGGCTATATACCTATATATGAAACTTAAGCTCGCTCCATTGCGGAGATATTCCCGCGAGAGTGCGGAAAACTTAAATGTATTTATTTCAAATGTGACATTTTACCAATATACTCACGGACCACTAGGGGGCGCTCACGGACCACCAGTGGTCCGCGGACCACACTTTGAGAAGCACTGCTCTACGGTGACCTTCTCTGGGGCCCGGTCCGTGTGCTGCATCAGAAGCTCCATCCTGCATGTCCATCCAGGCCTGATAACATCTACTTCAGACGAGCAGGCTTCCTCTTCATGGTCCTCTTTTGTGCCTTCGCGTACTCCTTTAATCCATTTTTCGGTTATGCGTACAAACTGTTCAATGTTTGCTGACTTGGGATTAAACCAGTGTTGCTGGTCTTCAGACGCCTCCTCTTCAGGTAAGAGAGTTACAAACTCCTTGTTAATGTCATTAAACTCCATATAATTTAGTCATTCCGGATTACTTCTTCCACTTTATCCACATTGCTATCATTTTCGTTAAGACGTTTCAGCTCATTAACCTTCTTGCTGAGCTGGCCCAGCTTCGCTCTCCTTAATCCATTTAGCCTGTGGAGCCTCTCCTCTTTGGCCTTTTCCGTGGGCTTTAGCTCCCTCTTGTGGCTCCTTTCGGTTAGTTCATCCATGGCTCTTTCAAATTAAACTTACTACAGGCGAAACCTACCAGTTTCACCCACAGTCTCTGCCACCTCCCTCCATGCCTGGTTCCTCCGGTTTGTATCCCGGTAAGGAAATAGGGACTGGTCATAAAGAACCGGGTGATTTGCTACCGCAATAACTAATTTCTCCATTTTCAGGAATATAGAAAATGAACTGCGGTCTGTCTCCCAGGTTGCACTCGGTTTGATTGGCTAGCGCTTGTACTGTCAGATTTGCATAAACGGGATTTGATTGGCTGACGCTTCAAAAGTTGAACATTGCTCAACTTTTGAATCCTGGAAATCTTCGCTTTGCTTCCCCATAATGCAGTTCGGCGAAAAGCAAGGCAAAGTGACGTCACCCCATTCAAAGTGAATGGGCAGAAGCGTTTTTTAACGCTGCCGTGTGGACGGGCCGTGAGGGTGTAGCCCTTCACAGTAAGAGCGTAGCCCTTCACAATAAGAGTGTAGGCCTTCACCGTAAGAGCGTAGCCCTTCACAGTCAGAGTTTAGGCCTTCACAGTAAGAGTGTAGCCCTTCACAATAAGAGTGTAGCCCTTCACAATAAGGGTGTAGCCCTTCACAATAAGAGTGTAGCCCTTCACAATAAGGGTGTAGCCCTTCACAATAAGAGTGTAGCCCTTCACAATAAGGGTGTAGCCCTTCACAGTAAGAGAGTAGCCCTTCACAGTAAGAGAGTAGCCCTTCACAGTAAGAGTTTAGGCCTTCACAGTAAGAGTAGCCCTTCACAGTCAGAGTTTAGGCCTTCACAGTAAGAGCGTAGCCCTTCACAATAAGAGTGTAGCCCTTCACAATAAGGGTGTAGCCCTTCACAATAAGGGTGTAGCCCTTCACAGTAAGAGAGTAGCCCTTCACAGTCAGAGTTTAGGCCTTCACAGTAAGAGAGTAGCCCTTCACAGTAAGGGTGTAGCACTTCACAGTAAGGGTGTAGCACTTCACAGTAAGAGCGTAGCCCTTCACAGTAAGAGAGTAGCCCTTCACAGTAAGAGTTTAGGCCTTCACAATAAGAGTGCAGCCCTTCACAATAAGGATGTAGCCCTTCACAATAAGAGTGTAGCCCTTCACAATAAGGGTGTAGCCCTTCACAATAAGAGAGTACACCTTCTCAATAAGAGTATGGCCCTTCTCAATAAGGATGTAGCCCTTCACAGTAAGAGTTTAGGCCTTCACAATAAGAGTGCAGCCCTTCACAATAAGGGTGTAGCCCTTCACAGTAAGAGTGTACACCTTCTCAATAAGAGCGTGGCCCTTCTCAATAAGAGTAATAAGAGTGCTTTGGTTCCAGGGTCTGACGGCCAATGATAAGAAGTGTTTCGAGGACATGGCGAAGACCGACAAGGTGCGCTACAACCGTGAGATGGTGGACTACACCCACCCCAAAGG